CCTTGGGATACTCAGTGACGGGTAAGGACGGAAGCTTCTGTCTACCAACCTAAGACAGGTCGTATTGGGACATGAGCCCTGCAACTGATGACGGGTAAGGAGATAGAAGACTTCTGCCGCCTAAAACAGAGGTCCCTTGGCTGATGAGTTGATAGCATTCTTCATGCTATCAAAGAAAGATGGGGGAATTAGGCGAGCCATTATGGTGAGCCTTGACACAGGCCTAGCCATGACTGAACTTTGAGTCACCTCGCTGGCACGGAGGTGCTCTCGCCCATAGCCACGGGCGAGTTCAGCTAGTAGCAGATGTAACCCATAATGGTCGTTATTGTTTCCTTCTGGAATGTGTGGGCGGTACCCTCGCTCCCTCGCTCCCATACCCTCGCTCGCTCCCTCGCTCCCATGCAGCTGGAGAGTATAAAAGGGCGAGGTTCTATAATAAAGCAAGCAACTGAAGAAGAAAGGTGCCTCTCGTCTCTCTGTCCTCATCCTTTCAGGTTTAGGACCTGCTGGCAGGATCCTGACGTCGCGGCTCGCAACAATAAACGAGCTTTCAGTTGTCCTGAGGAGGAGAGGTAAGCGGGGAGGGAGAGGGAGGGTGCGCCAGGCAGCACCTGAAGAAGCACACGGGGCAAGGGCAGGAACGGGTGTTTGTGAGGCTGCGGGAGGCCCAGGGAGAAGTGGGCTGATGCAGAGAAGTTACCAGAAACACCTCAGGAAGAGGAAGCGTTGGTTTCACCACTTCCTCTAAACAAAACCAACAGAGTCCCGGGTGAGAAACTTCAGAGATTCGGATGAAGCTCAAGTAAGATTGGCTCAGGCAGGAGTTGGAGGCTGTGGAAGGAAATGTTTCCTCATCCAGGGCCTAGGGCAAACCCACTGGCCAAGGTGATCGGAGGAGCAGAGGATTCTGAGTAACAGTTAAAATTGGGTTTAGTGGATTAAGAAGCATCAAACCGGTTTAAGTAGCCAACTGTGTTTCTGTCACTCTGCGTAATTTCTGTCCTGAAATGCCCTCTGGAGAAACCTAAGTGCCTGACTGTCCAGCTGAGATAAGAAGACTCAGGAAGGAGGGAAACTAGAGAAGACAAAAATGATGAAGGGGAAAAGCTCGCACGCCGAAGGCCACGGAGAAGCCTGCATCACGGGATTCTAGGACAGTCCTAGGCGTGACGCTCCCGAGCTTTCATCTGAAGGTACAAAGAGAAGTATTTTGGGGTGTGGGCTATTTCTAGAACCCTTTAAATCATGCCACATCTTGTCCTATGTGTGGACTGAGGAGGGCCGAAAATACCTTCTTTAAATAACTGTGCACAGGGCCAGATTTAGCTCAGCATTTCGGTGGCCTGCCTCGCAAGCGCAAGGACCCGAGTTCAATCCCTGGTACCAAAAAAAAAAAAAAAACAAAAAAAAACCAAAAGAACAACAAAACAAAACAAAACAAAAAACTGTGCACAGAAGCACAGTGGATATCTAACACAAGTGAAATGCTTCTATATACACTTTCCTCAAAATCAGATTTGCCTGGTATTAGGAGTTAAACAGAGTACACAGCTCAATTCCGTATCCTGTAATTTCCTGCAATAGTGCTTCATTCTTCCCTGCGGCAGAGGCCGGGTTAGAATTTAGGTTTGGCAATGAATGATGGCTTTGTTTTGTTTTGTTTTGGTACCGGGGATGGAACTCAGGACATTGCACTTGTGAGGCCCGCGGCGGAACCACTGAGCTAAATCCCCGGCCCTGAATGATGGTTTTGACAGGATGGGATCCAAGTTTTGGTTTTTTCCCTTCAGTACTAGTGGTAGAACCCAGGGCCTTGGCACTGAGCCTTTTTGAAAATTTATTTCCTTTTTAAATGTTGAGGCAGGGTCTCACCAAGTCACCGAGTCACCCTAGGCTGGGCTCCCTTTGCAACTCTCCTTCCTGTCTCAGCTTCCCCGAGTGCTGGGTTTAAGGTGTGAGCCACCATGCCCAGCTCCCAAGTTATTTTTGACACATTTTGTTTGGAATTTCATAAAATTCCAAATATTTTTCTTTTTTCCCCAAGAGACCTAGAATAAAATAGGTTTGTTGTTGTTGGGTTGGGTGTTTCATTTATTTTCTTGTTTTTGTTTTGTTTTGTTTGTACCAGGGATTGAATGCAGGACCTTGAGCTTGCCAGGCAGGCAGGGTGCCACTGAGCTAAATCTGCAGCCCTGTTTGCTTGTTTTTAAGACAAAGCTACTAATTGGCCACAGTAGTCAGTAGAAAATTTGATTTTGACCCAGGCAGTAGAAAATTTGATTTTGAAATGTGGAGAAGATTTGAAAGTTTATTAAAATGAAGTGAGTTCGATTGTAGAATGGAATTTTGTTTTTCCTTTTTTGAGACAAATGTTTGCTGTGTACCTCAGCCTGGGCTTGAGAGCACAATCCTCCTGCCTCAGCCTTCCTTCCCGAGTGGCGGGATCACTGGTGTGTGACACCATGCCATCCTGGGCGTGGGACATGTGGGTTGACTGTCACTCAGACACTCAGGCTGATCTGGGCACAATCCTCGGGGCTCTCTTGTTTGTGTCCTGCCCCCATGCACGGAGGCGGGGTGCAGACTCATGGGGAAAGGCGGGGGAGAAAGGGTACCCTATCCTGTGGGCAGTGAGGTGGCTCAGCCCGTGGTGTCTGAGTACAGGGATGACAGATAAAGTTCTTTTTTTTGAGAAGGAGCAATCACATTAAAGGAGAGAAACTGCCACACTGTGCCTTCCTCCTCTGCTGTTTCTCAGGGTGGATCTCGCCCCTCCCCATCTTCCTATGGCCGGTGGTGATGGGCACAGGTGGCAGTGTGACATTGTTGGAAGAAGGGCCCAGGACTTCTGCCACCTCTCACCTCTCGTCTCCTCAGGACACTGGGAAATTGGGAACCCACCTTCTTCATTTTCCACACCAAACACAAGCACACAGGTGCCTCCCATTCGAGATGAGCGAGAGCCTCTGTGGGGGGGCACAGTCCTGGGGCACTGCCCACCCTGCCCAGCTGCCTTCCCGGAGAAGGCCCTGTGTCCACAAGCCCCACCCACCTCGAAACTGCCCCAGTCCAGTCTGGCTGTTAGTACTCATTAAAAGATGAGTTATATTGTTCTTCCCGCTTGTGTGGTTTCTACCTCCTCCCCCTGCCCCAGGGGAACCACTTCCAATCTCACTGTCCTTCCCAGGTCCAGTCTTGCTTGGTTTTCTGTGCACCTTGCGGCCCTGTGATATCAGCCCTCTGATGGGTTTCGGGAAAGTTTTGTTCATGCTCGTTATCTCACTTTTTCTTTTCTTTTTGTGGTATCGGGGATTGAACTCAGGTCCTTGTGCTTGCAAGGCAGGCCACTGAACCACTGAGCTACATCCCCGGCCCCTCACTTTTTCTTTTTGTTAGGGTGAAAGCAATATTCTTGCTAGCTGTCTGTGTCCTAAATGGAAATTATTATGTTCATTTAACAATAGAATAGATTTGTGCTGATGGCAGGCTAAGCAGGCAGATATTTCTAAGAATTGGCTGTGAATGTGACACACAGGTGGAAGGCCAGGGCCACCTACAGATGCTTCCCCCAAGGCTGATGGAATAGACAGGAAAAGAGCTGATGGCTGGAGACTCAGAACTAAATCCTCAGCTTCCTGTGAGATGGGTAATATCTGAGTATATTGAGTGTGCTCCAGAAAGTGGATGGCTGGACAAAATAATAATTACACTTCCTCTCAGTCTGCTCTCCTCCAGTTTTATGTCCAATTTCATACTGTCTGGGCCTGAAAATCACCTCAGAGTTTTCCCTTTTTCAGTGAGCTAATCTGATAGATGTGATCTGGATTCATCAGCAAAGAAAGAAATCCCTACTGCTGTTATTCTTTCCTTCAGGTTCCTTTAATTATTTAAAGTGGTGCTGCTCCAAATAGCTGACAGTTAATTTAAAAAGCCAAATGGTGATGTCCATGTTTCTTCCCCAGAGCCCGAAGCAGCCTCGAGGCCCAGGGTGGCACTTGCCTGAGGTGATTCTGGCATCATGGGCTGCTGAGCGCCCTTAGCTCCCTGCTCATGGCCTCTGGAGAAGCAGGGAGCGCCCAGAGACGGCATGGACTCATCACAGTTGGGAGCCAGGCTTCCCACCTGGGCACGAGGTCTTCTGAGCAAAATTAAGGACGGCTTAGGCAGGGTGGGTCAGGGTAAAACGATCCCGGTCTTGACACAGCCCTTACATATAAACACTCACGCATACATGCATGTGCGCACACACACACACACACACACACACGATAGTGACCAGCAAGGTGAATTATTGAACATGCGTGGTGTCCAACTTGTTTTCCGGCAAGGGTAACACAGTCTGATAGTTTAGTGTTATGGAAGGATTTAGTAAAACACAAGTATACTTTTTTTTTTTGGTATAGAGAAGCAAAATGGAAGTAAAAGAATAAAAAGTGTATTTCGTCGACATCCTGCTTCTCTATACGCGTCATTTACCAATTCCTCCCGCAACAAAGGTAACTGAGTTTGCATCTCAGCGGCACTGCCCACTGGGCTGTCCCCAGCTTTGCTCCCGTGATGTTGTAGCAGGTGTAATGGTCCCACAGGACAGCAGTGGTGGACCCTTGGCACGCTTACTGCAACAGGGACGCAGATCCCTCTCTGTGGACACAGGAGCCAAGTCGCCCCAGCAGTGCGGCATGGGGTATTCGGGTACAAGGGCAGAGTCGGCGTTTTGTGTTAAATGAGTGGGTTTGGGTGAAGATTGCTCTCATTCTCGGAAAGTTTCACTGTCACTGATAGAGCATTCCTTGAGTATGTAGTTATGCACTGTGCTTGTTCATTTATTTATTTTTAACAAATTATAAATGGGACAGGAAAAATGTGTTAGACTTAAGTACAAAAGGGGACGGAAAACACAAAACGGAAAATAAAGTAGAAGCGAACTGGGTCAGAGCGAATGGGTTAAACACACGTGCAGCGAGAGACCCAGAAGGAGATGAGGAAGACGGAGAGGCGAGAGGGCCTGGAGCTGCTCGGAGCACTGCACAGATGCGGCCGATTTCATCCTCAGAAACAGCTCCCGGCTGGGTGCAGTTCTGGCCACAGCCATTTCACAGATGAGGCCAGGCCCTGAGGGCGAGGCCGAGCAGGCCGAGGAACGGTCCAGGGCCTCACAGCGGAAACGGCGCAGCTGGGATGAAAACCTAAGCACACGGACTCGTGACCGTCACTCTCACGCCGCCCTTGAGAGGAGCTGTGCCATTTGTCCAGGACTCGGCTGGCAAATGACGGGCCCAGGCCGGGGCCGCCCACAAGCCTCGCCCTGAGGCTCTGGGTCGCTGACCTCAGCCACGGCCCCCGCAGCCGCCCCGGACCCGGGAAGGGCTGGTGCCCATCGGGTGATGCTGTCATTTGCTCCCCACCCGGCCCTGCTTGCTGTGGACGGAGGTAAGCAGAGGTCGCTTCTGGCTGCCCACAGCCCAGCCCTGCGGGACTCGGCAGGAGGTGGTGGGCGGGGTCCTGTCTGCCTCCCTGACCTTCACAGGGCCGGGATCCAAGGGAGATGCTGCCAACCAGGGGCAGCTTCGCTTCATTTTACTTTTGTGTCTTCATAGACGAATTTTCCCTAATTATGTAGATATATTTATACGTAGACATCATTTAGATAGAGATAAGACGGACAGCAAACAGGATCTGTAAACAAAGAAGAGAAGGGAATTTGTAGGTTTTCTGTGTTCTACTTCCGTGCAGATACGGCGCTCACTCTTCTTTCGGAAATTTACCAACTTGCTGTACCTTGCTAAACAGCAGTGCACAGGCCTCATGGTCTGCTAACCCTATCTGCTCCAGGAGAAGAGCACAAGTTCCCCAAGGCACTGTCAGGACGGTTTGTTTTCCAGAGGGTTTTACATAACTGGCGTTGTGTTTGCTGCTATGGGGTACAGGATTGAATCATTTGTGGGGTACGTGATACATGGGTCAGTGCATTTTCCAAACTCGTGACCAGCTTGAAGTGATTTTATAGATTCTATTTTATAATCTAGAAACATAAACTTAATATTTTATACTTTATTGAGGTATTAGGGAAAGACTTTTAAAAATAAGAGGAAGAGAAGATGTTGAAACTTTTATTTTAGGATAATTATTGATACCTCCCCTGATGCTAATTCTTTGAAGGCAAAGCTTTCAGTCGTTTAGCTCACAGTGGGCCGGACACAGTAACTGGGATGTAGTAGGTGCTTTATCAATAGTTGCTGAGCGGGTTCTTCCCCTTCCCTTCCCTTCTTCTTGGTACCAGGGATTGAATCCTTGCACCACTTAGCTGTTCATTTATTTATTTTGGTACTGGGATCGCACTTGGGTCCTTGCGCTTTCAAGGCAGGCGGCAGAACTACTGAGTTAAATCCCCGACCCTCAGCTTTTTAAATTTTATTATTTTTTAAAATTTTGAGACAGATTCTTAAGTCGTTATTTTGCCCAGGCTGTCCAGGGACTTGTGATCCTCCTGCCTCAGCCTCCCAGAGTGCTGGGATTATGAGTGTGCCACCATACCTGACTAATATTTGTTGAACTTCTGAATGGATTTCATACCATTTCATGTAAGTTCCTGGCAAATTTTAAAACATAAATACCTAAGTAACACCATAAAAACAGTTTCGGCAATAAACGAAAGTATTTCCAGTTGACTTTGGGCTATGCAGAAGTAGAACTGTGAATGTCGTGAGATAATGTTAGCAATATGAAATGCAATATTTTATACGATGAATTATCGGTGAAAGCATGGCATTTGCATTTTTATTTTGAATATGTTAAGAAAACACTAGCAAAAACCAAGGGGAAACATGAGTGGGAGAAAGAAGTGGATAGAAAGAATCAGAAATACTACCCACTGCTTCATGATGAAGTGGTCAGCCCAGAATTCAGGACGCAGGCGGAAATCCGCTCTGACTCTGCCCCACTCCTACAGGCTTTCTGCAACAGGTGTGTCCACGCTAGGGGAAAGGGGAAAAAGA